TTATCCACTTGACAAAAAGGCCAAAACGGGCCAAAACACCCTTGGCCCTTGTGAGCAGTGGCGGGTGGGGTTGCTCATCATACGGATTTTGTGTCTGTTGTGGGCCCAACTGGTCGAAAAAAATTGCCCGTTCCACCAGTTTTATCCACTTCCAAGTGGACGTTGAGAGAGAGAGAGAGAGAGAGAGAGAGAGAGAGAGAGAGAGAGAGTTATAAGGGGTGTCTTACACCCCAACTGCCCCCCCTAAAACCCCTGTTACAGCCCTACTTATACCCTGTTTATACCAGTCGTATACCCACACCCCTCATCACACCCCTGAGCTACCCCCCCCTCACGAGAGTCCCCCTACCCCCACCCCATATTGTTCCAGGGCTGGGGCGGGGTTTAGCGGCTATTTTACCACACCCGCTAAACCCCGCCCCAGCCCTCGAACAAAATGGGGTGGGGGTAGGGGGGTTCTCATAAGGGGGGTTAGCTAAGGGGTGTGATGAGGGGTGTGGGTATACGACTGGTATAAGCGAGGTATAAGGAGGGGTGTAACGGGGGGGGTATGGGGGGCAATTGGGGGATTACTTAAATTTTCGGGTAGCATAATGGGGTATAAGGGGGGGTGTAGCGGGGTATAAGGAGGGGTGTAACAGGGGTTTTAGGGGGGCAGTAGGGCGGTTAATTAAATTTTGCACGTATGGGGTGTTAGGGGGAGAAGGGGGGTTATATTTTAGGGGTATGGGGTATAAGTGGGGTGGTAAGGGGTGTGAGGTACGAGTGGCGTGGTATGGGGTGTCGGGTGTAAGGCGTGTGCTGAGAGGGTGTCGAGTAAAAGGAGGGTGTAGGGGGTGTCAAAGTCGAGGTGTAAGGAGGGGGCAGTGGTATTGGGTGCAAAGGCAGCACGTGCGGCTGAGTAGCTGGAAGTTGTTTCAACACGGGTTCCGCGTTGAACCTTTCAACGCACATCGAAAACGCGGGGAAACTGTGTTGAAGCCCCCGTTTATTGCGGTTCACCGCGACCCGGGAATCTTTTTCCACAGGTAAAAAATGAGCGAAAAAAAACAAAACAAAAAATATAGGGTTGTATATCTTCTTTTTTGTTTTTTTTAATCTTTTCATTGTTTTCAATAGCTACAACCCGCTATTTTTTATTATATTTTTTGAACATTCATTACATTTTAAAAAAAAATCGAAAACCATACAAAGAAGGAGAAAAAAAAAAGAAAAAAAAGGAAATGGGTGGGTTTTACTTTTTTCCACAGAAACTTTTTTTGCGGGCAAAAATGAAGCAAAAAAACAAGTAAAAAATATAGGGTTGTAGTCTTGTAGACCGTTTGCAGAGCTACAACCCATGTCTTTTATTATATTTTTCTAACCTTATATCAATTTATATGAATTAAAAAAAAAAAAGATAAAAAAAAGAAACTTAAAAATCAAACACGCACGCACACACGCATACAAGTTGTGTTTTTTTTTTTTT